TAGCTCTCACACTCTTTAAAACAAGGTATGGTTTGTCGTTAGATGTGCTTGAGTTAAATTATTAATAACCCTACTAAGACACCTAGTTGTTCCGAGTCCAGTCCTGATTCTTACAACCACTCTAGAATTCACTATTCACTCTGCTATGTGTTTTCACTGCGGACATAAATCCACATGGCAAGGAATTTATAGCAGTCCTTGGTCATGTAGTTATTGGCAACTGCAATTTCCATCTACGGAGAACAACATTGGAAACAAGCCGTCATTCAGAATTGGATTTATGTGTGTTTGTTCTTCAGAAATGAGTTCACTAAAGCATAAATTTCCTTGAGAAAGAAAGAGTGTAGCTGGGAGATATTTATGGACTAGGGAGAGGAGAAGGAGCTAACTGGTGCTCATAACTTAGGGCTTCTTTTTCGCTGGCATAGTAGCAGCTAATTTGGGAAAATATCTTCCAAATCAAGACCAAAATAACTCACAAGGAAGTCCATATAGATCCATATTTGTTTCCAGAACAAATTGCTTTGGGGGGCAATTACAGATTACAAGGAAACAGTGATGTAAACATATATGTAATGGTAAATTTTGTCATGCAGAATTTTGTCATGACAGTTCTATAGGCATGCCCTCCAGGACATCTTAAAAATGCAGGAAGTTAGATCCAGATTGATAAGTGCATCTACACACACACACACATACTAAAGAGCTACTGTTGTTATAATACCCAATTTGTTAGAATCAGCTAAACAATATTGAATCAAATGGTAAACTTTCAATGGTCAATGTGGTAGTTAGGATGTTATAGTTCGGCATGTTATATATGAAGCTGCTTGGCAGAAAGTGAGGGACACAGTATGTTCCCATGCATCATAATATCATGATTGCAGGCATTTCCAGGCATTTCTTTTCCTTATATCAGAGAGACAGATTTTCCCTGTAAGTTAACAAAGCAGTTCTAGCATTTTGTACAGAGCAGATCTTTTGCAAAGCTAATGGATCTTAATTGCACATTTAAGACCAAGCTATCCACAAAAGTCTCACATTCCACTAGAAAAGTTCAGAATGTTTTCTGCTGTTGTGAGGAAAGCCCATTTAACTCCATAAACTGTGCAGATTCTGACTAAAAGGAGTTGTAGATTCTGTTGTTAATTAGGAAAAAAATCCTGTTATTTTTCTCATATAAACTTTGGATATATTAGGAATAGGGAGCCAACACATCTAGTGATGTGCCCCCCAGCATGCACAGACCCGTTTTTCTCATTTCTTTACAAAAGCTTAAACACTTAAGCTTTTTCTCTTTTTGAAAAAATAAGGCACAGTAAGCAATTTCACTACATTTTCATGTTCTTCTGGCCTGTTGTAGGAGGGCCAGTTAGGAGAGCTTCCCCCCCACCCCAAACCAGAGATGACTGGAAAACAACCTCTCTGGACCTAAACAGGCTAAAAAGCCCCCTCCAAAAAGTGAAATACCCCTAAGGTGTGTATGAAGCTTTTAAGGGGGGGATGGGGAAGGGGAACAGGAGGGGCGAGGGGGTACAGCTGCCAGGCCTGTAGATGTTCCTCACCCCATCCTACAGTATTGCTTACAAAGCCATTGCAAGAGACCTAGTTTGGGATGTAATTGTATGTGGTATTTGGCCACCTTAATGGTTCATCAGTTCCTCTTACTATGTGGCCAGACTGCAGCTAGCTCCTGCTTCACATTTTTTGCTCCCCCCACTCCATTTTTGTGCACTTTTTTATCCTGAGTTTACTAGTGGTATATAGTCATCTGTATTTGTTTCAGTAAAACATGAAGGTTGCCGCATTGTCCAAAAGGACAATTCAAATATATATATATATATACACACTAACCTCTCAGTGATGCCTTTTGTTAGGTCATCTCTGGGGTCACAAAATACTATGCAATCATTCATGTTCTCCAGAACACTTTACCAGTCTAAAAGGTGAAACAAAGCAGGGATGGGAGGGCAGGAAAGTGGCTTCAACCTTCAAACTGCAAAGTAGTTAAGATGCAAAAGGAGTCAGCTGCAAACATTCAGTTTTGACTAAGACTTCGTACTCAACCTGCATCCCTACCATGAATCAGAATAGGAACCAGTTTACAGGGTTATATCACAAGAATTCAATTATTTCAGAGGTTTTAGCATTTTCGATATTACCTTGGAAAGATTTCCCAAGATATAACTTATAGTTCAAGCAATTGCAAGACTGATTCAGCATGCCAAAACTAAGTTCATCAATACTGACTTTGCTGCATTAAAAATAAAGCTGTGGGCTGCTCCTTAAACGAGAACCACATGCAAAGTATTCTCCCTTGCTTGTTTTGATCCTCGAAAAACATCACACATTCCAATTGCATCATTCCACTCAATATAAGTTTTCGCAATATGGTTACTGCTACTTATCAAAAGACTCTTAAGTGTCCTGTGTGTATTCTGTTTGAAAGTAAGATCTGTTTTCCTTTATAGGCCAAAAAAGTGTGCTTAGGACCCCAGCCTAAAATAATTTTCAGGCTGCATTTGTACACATGCTGTAGGTGAGTTGTGAATAAGGGCAAATGTAGGACTGCACACAATTCAAAGTGCCAAGGCAGGCACTTTGAATCTTTTTTTTAAACCACAGAATATTCCCTGCAGCCAGAAACCAAGCACAGTAGGCTACAAATAGTCGTCCTTGTGTGCTACTTTTCTATTTGCACTGATTTTCTTCAATGACAAAATATATAAAAAATGGAACACCACCTCTGTTGCCTGAAATGATAGCACTCGCTCTACCATCTTATGTTTCTACTGTCCCAGTTCAAATGCATGTGTGGATCCATGGGTGAGAGGTGACAGATTTACAGACTCAGTGTGTTTTATGTACAGAAAAGCAGAATCAAAGCAACACTTTTTAAAAGTCAGCATATTACTCTTACCGCACAAATGATATCAAGAATGATAGATGGTTGTCTTTGGAGTAGTCATACCAGAATCAATGATGGTACTCCAAAAGAGGCATTCCACCTCTCACCACAACTTCCTTAACCACAGTGGAGATAATAAGGCAAAGCTGAGGATAAGTTTGCATTTAAAGCAAAGGAAAAGAACCCCTTTTAATCTGAGAACCAAATTCAGTTTCAGATAAGGTTTTACGGGGGAGGGGAGGAAGGCACGTTCCAGTGGTGAGTGGAGCAAAAAACAAAAGGGTGCGTCCCAAAATACTGACATGTTTTAGCTTACCTCACAACTTGTATTGTGAGATACTAAACCTCAGGACAAACATTTCTGACCTTTCAAATGAGAAGGTGGTAGGAAACCAGCAGATGCCCATATTGTGGGGAAGGGACAGAGGGGCCACTGAAGGGATCAGGAGAACTGGATTCAGAACTAAAGTATTGTATGAGGTGCCTCATCTGTGAAACAAACTCTGTGAAGAGTAATTCCCCTAAAGTTCCATCATCTTCACCTGTTGTGTTTTTTTAAAGGCAATAAAGACAGTAGAGGACTCTGTACAGAAAGACTCTTGGCTACAGAGATAGATATTTAGCAACTATACTTTGCATGCACGACCATTTTGAAAGAAGCAAAATATCGGCTGCATGATTTCAGCATAACACTCATATTACAAGGGAAGAGGAAAACAACTAAACTGGCTGTTGATTGTTCCTTCAATGAGACTGTGGGTCTTCCATCACATCTGAAATCAACACTTTAGCTTAAGAGGGGCAGATCAGGCACGGATCACTCCTCAAACATCTTCCTATCACTTCCCCATAGCTGTAAATAGCAGTTTCACCACCCAGGAAAAACAGCACAAAATCGTGTGGAAATAATACAAAAAGTAATGAGGGAACATCTTTCCAGGTCAGAAACCTGGTCTACAAAGCCCCACATAGACCTTTCCTCTGCTGCCTCAGAAGCCCTGTGTACCAGTCTCTGTTTTTTCTCCTCCTGCCCCCCTCCCCAGAGGTCTGATCTACCAGCTGCTTGTCCTGTGGTGGAGGACAAAGCCACCAGGCCAATTCTGGAGATCTGGTTCACATTGCCTTTGCCGCTGGCACCCAAATAAAGGGTGCATATTCTAAATTTGATGCCCTGGGGAAAAGCCCCAATTGCCCTATCTTTCTTACGCACCACACTCACCATCTTCTGTCACCCGAGTTGGCTTAATGCTGTGGCTAGACTGAAGTGTCATCTTTTCATAAAGCCTATTTTGATTTTTAGACCTAGAAATGTAAAACTTATTAACACTTCACAAAAGAGCATTCACTGATAAATATACATGGACCTATTTAAATGCTGTCTGGTGGGCTGAAAGGTGCAATTAGAGATGGGGATAGTCATATTCATATACTGTACTAATACGAATATCCCTGCACAGCTGGACCTGACGAGGGTCCTGCCCCAAGACTGTCCCATCCACTCACGCGTGTTTCCTGCGGCGCCAGTCCCACTTGTCCTTCCAATGGAACCCGGAGCTCCACTCTCTTCCTGCTCGACTGGCCACTCCAGGCAGGGGGCAGGAGGAGGAGTCTCCCTGCATGGCTGCTGAGTGGCTGGCCAAGTGAGAAGAGAGTGGAGCTCTGAACGCCATTGGAAGGATGAGCAAGACGTGTGCAGTGGCAAGACATGTGAGTGGATAGTCCAGTCTGGGGGGCCGGACCCTCATTAGGTCCAGTTGCGCAGGGATATTCATATACAAACGTCTCCATTTCTAGGTGCAATATAAAGAAAAGGAAGAAAGGAATTGCTGTCCAGTCACTTCTGACTTTTTTCAGGGTTTTCCAGGTAGAGAGTACTCAGAAGTCGTTTACCATTCCCTTCTTTTGGAGGCGCCCTGGGACTGTTCAGCTTGCTCAAGGCTACACAAGCTGGCTCTTCAGGAATGCACAGTGGAGGATTGAACATCTAGCTTCTGGCTCCACATCCAGACACGTAACACTGAGCTATCCAGCCAGTGCAATATAAAGGCAGACATTTAAAAATAAATCAATGCATGGCAGAAACAGCCATTACCTAGATGAATGATCATTGTATCCAGCACCTTCCCAGCTGCACTGTAAATCCCAGAATTCTTTGAGTTTAGGTTGTCAGCGACCACAGTCACCACAGAAACCAGGACTGGATTTAAGCCTTCCTTGAGGATTGGGATCATGAGGAGAACTGATTCCAGTGCATACTGGTTCACTTTCTTGTTGGAGTCTTGAAGTCTCAGGGTAAAAGCATCAAAGATCTGTTTATATAAAGGGGGAGGAGGAGATAAATTCTACTGAAACAGCATTACTGTGCATAGAAACAGGTGGATAGAGGCACTTCCTAAATAATCATATAAAGAAATCACATTATCAAATAGGGTTTTAACAGTTATGATTACCTCTGTGTCTACCATCATTTTTCAAAGTATAGATGCTTCCTACCAAAGAAATAGGAAAAGGGAATAATTCTGATTTCTCCTAGTGAGACAGGAAAAGATCCTTGTATAGCTTTTTTTCTTCATAAATCATAACAATTCCACAAATGATAGCTCTATAATGGGAAGGGAAAGCTAAGGTTGAGATACAACAGATGCAGCAATTGAGCAGGAGCAGCAGCTGGTTTGAATCCTTGATGGAGAGTATTGTTTTCATATTTATTTGAAAAACATCTGGTGTTCACTGATTAACTACACCTTTTATACATGACACAGGAAACTGAACAAAAGCCCATTCAGACTTAAATGGATTGAACTGAATGAGGATAAAAGTGACCTGTCCTTATCCAACCTAAATGGATAGGTAGCCTGTATTAAAGGTGCAAAATCAGATGGATCTCATTACCTGTATGATGTTTGAGGAGACAAGTGCAGTGTTATTCCTGCAGTATTCTGTTAGCAATTTTATCCCCTCCATCCGTGTCTGAAATTCCTTTGCCATCAGCAGGTGGTTCAGCTCCCTGAGCTGTTCCAGCACTTCAATGCTGCGAAGGGAGGAGCGGCGAGGCGTGGACTGTGGCAGGGCTATAAAGGTGGACCTGATGTTGAGAATTAAAGACTTTTTCAGTACATTCTTCATCAGTATCCTAGGCAGGTAGCCAGCACTACCTAACACCACACAATATCTTAGTAACATAAGCTTCAAATGGAAAAATGCCCTAACAGCTTCAAAATGTCAATCTATGGCCTTGGCAGTGGCTGAAGGACGATACCATGAGATTCCCTGGGAAGACAGAACTTGCCCATGTGGCACCATGGAAGCAGAAGATCTAATTCACTACTTAATTAATTGCCCCATATACAAAGTCCTAAGAGCGAACTTGTTCAGAGAGATAGGCCACATAACCAACAGATCAGGTGCTTATCTGATAAATTTTTGGCTGGGGGATGGAGTACCCTAGAGTGGTCTTAACCGGCTAGATAGGCGGGATATAAATAAAATAAAATAAAATAAAATAAAATAAAATAAAATAAAATAAATAAATAAATAAATAAATAAATAAATAAATAAAATACCACATACAACAGAAAAAGTAGCCTGTTTCACCTTTCGAGTATCAATTTTAAGAAGGAAACACTGTAGTGATGAGGACCTGATTGATTAACTGGATCTAACTTACTTTTAATATTAGTTTTGACTTGTATCTAGATTAATGCTTCTGTTTTAATTTATTTGTAATGTGTGTTTGCAATGGTTAAGGCCACACAAATAAACTTGAATTTGATTTGAACACCACACAGAGCAAAAGGAGATCCTATCCGGAGTTCAGTGTAAAATATTGCTTCATTTGCAATTTTTAATTTTGTTTTAATTTCCTTTATCTCCATAATTTCCTCTAGGTACAGTGTTGTTAGTTGCACCAGGAAAGAGTCTGACAAACATGGAGAATCTTGGGGGAAATTAAGGAATACTGATACTAGTTGCCCCAGAACATCTTGACATTTTGAGGCAAAGTGGCTCATGACCTTCTCCCGCTCCACAGCGAAGGTGCCCAGCACTCGAAGCCAGTCAAGTTGACACCAGAAACAAAAATTCTCGCAAGGGCCTGTCCCACTTCTTAAAACAAAACAACACATAAAACAAAACAACACAGACAAAAGTGTTCTTCTGTTTGAAGAAGCCTCTCATCTGCAAAAGCTCAGTTTATCTTAAAGGTACCACGAGGCTGTTGGTTTTTGTTCACTTTGCTTTGCTTTTGTTATACATGCTGAAACAAATGAACAGAATTTTTGCTTTCCCTTAAGGATACAGCAAACATTTTCTCTTTAATGAAGAAGACTGTCTTGACATATAAAAATGGTGAACTGCCACAAGATTTTCACCTGTGCATAAGAGTGAAAATACAGCCCTTATTTCATCAATAGCATAATCTCTGCTTTTTTAATTTCTTACGCAAAACAAAAGTTTTTTATACAATAACAGCTGCATGAATTTTTGGCAGAAAGAAAAAAAATACAGAATTTTGTAAGCTCTCTTTTTTTCCCTAGGCAGGAAACTTTTGCTATTGTTCGTTCTTATTTTGCCATGCTGCATTCTCACTTGCAAAAATGAAACCAGCAGATTTATGTGCCTACTCCCAATATATGGCAGTGAATATACAATCATAGTAAATTACCAAATGATTACCTTCCATGACTACCAAAATGTATAGGTGGCTCACTCTATCTAATAGTAGACTGAGCCTGAGGAAAGCATTAATATCACTATGTGTCATCAAGTAAAAACTTATTTTTAGTGATTTTAATAGTGCTCTCAATGTAAATGAGATATTTAAGGAGTGGTTTTACCACACACACACACACGTGTTGTGAGATATTTAAGGAGTGGTTTTACCACGCACGCACACACACACGTGTTTTCATGGTTTCCCAGGCCTCCTGAGTCCATTACTCCATCCAGTACATCACACTGGGTACCAGAAAGGGCATTAAGAAGATAGAAGTAGGTATCACAGAAAGGAATTTGAAGTCGACAGGGCATTTCCCAAGGAATCCTGATCAATTAATGAATCTTTTGTCTTTTCAGCAGCCATTAAGAGTTAAGAAAAAGGAAATAGGATGTCAAAAAGACAATGACAGTGAAGGCCAGTGAAAAAAATAGAACAAGATAACCCTCTGAACCCAACATGTTGCCATTCAGGATAGGTCCAGCTTCTCATATGGAATAGCCAATTGAGCTTTTCAAAAAGTTTATGTTATTGTGTACAAACAATATTATCCATGCATTCATAAACAACAAAAAGTAGATGATCTTCCATACCCATCATCTGAAGGCAGGCTGTCCAGTGAGGCTGTTAAGCTGCTGTTCTTTGATACTCTGTGGCTTTTGGCTGAAGGAGCCTGGGATATATGATCTTCTGTCCCCTGCACACATAAACATGTCAGCACTTTAGCAATGTTCCAATGGCCCCTTCACTGGGCACATTTAGGAAGCTGTTAAAAATCTGGCTATTTAAGTAGGCCTTCCCTGAACAAACACCTGCATGATAGATACAACAGTGTTTGCTAAAATATCATCCATCACACCGCCATGCTTTTTGTCTTTTACGTATATTTTATGTTTTTAACTGTAATTTATTGTATTGTACAGTATTTGTTTTACTGCACCTTATGATATTTGATTTATATCCTAATTGTATTATTATTTTGTATATGTATTATTTTGTTCCTCTATTGTTTGTTTATCTGCTATAAACCAATCAGAGTGGCCTTGGTTGCCAGATGGGTGGTATAACAACAACTACTATTACTACTACTACTACTACTACAACTACAACTACAACAACTACTGCTGCTGCTGCTACTTTCTACATCTTCACATTGTTTTCTGTAAAATCTGAAAAGGAGTCATATGTACTGAAATACATATATTTTTCTTTGCACTTTTATACTCACTTTCTGCTTAATTGTAGCAATGACATTACGTAAGTCATGTGATGGAAGACATTGCTTCAAGTATCCATCAAATTTTGAATGGGACATAAGTATATTCAGCATCTTCCGGCCATAAAACCTAATGCAGGAAAGGAAACTTAATTGAGAATGTAAGGCTACAGAAATGTAATCTTCATGAGGAAAATTGCATTCCATGCGCATAGGGATGTAGAGATAGAAGAGATCCCATGTGTCATTGAGATCAGCACCATGTGGATGAAGATATTTGTTTATACATAATACAATCTAGACATCATTTTCAGAGGTTGGCTGTTACTTTTAATGGATTATATCTCTCCAAATCACCAAATAAACTGAATTCTGGTATCTGAGATAGAAGAGATCCCATGTGTCATTGAGTTCAGCACCATGTGGATGAAGAAATTTGTTTATGCATAATGCAATCTGGACATCATTTTCAGAGGTTGGTGCTGTTACTTTTTATGGATTATAACTCTCATATCACCAAATAAACTGAATTCTGGTGTCTGCACAAGAAAGAAAGAAAGAAAGAAAGAAAGAAAGAAAGAAAGAAAGAAAGAAAGAAAGAAAGAAAGAAAGAAAGAAAGCTGTTGTGTATGTGTTCGTGCATTTTAATGTAGGAAACTCTTTGGAGCCAGCATGTTCACTGAAATGAATATGAAAGGTCCTAACTGTTCCAGACAGTCTGTTACCTTGTGTCTTGATTGCGATCCTGAGCAAGTCTGACTAATGTCTGCACAAGAGCCTCTGTGTTCTCCCGATTGCCTGAGAGCAATTTTTCAGCCCCAATCTGCTCCACAACAGTCAATAGGTGTTCAGCAGCACATTTTCGTATCAGAGGGTTGCGGTGGCTAAAATACAAAAATATAAGGCCTTTTGAAAAATCCTGAAAACTTTACTGTTTGAGTTACAACTTTTTGAAGTGGCTGTGTTGGCTTGAGTTCAAAATGATTCCTCCCCGCCCCCGTCCCCCCCCCTCAAAGTTCCATTGTTCTGCTTCAAACTGCAAAGACCCAACACCCTACGAAACATGGAAGGCTATTAGCAAGGAAATCGCCAGAGTGGATTTCGAGCTAATAGATCCCACCACTGACATGGTATTCTCCCTCAGACAGTTGCAGGAGAAATGCAGGGAAAACAACAGCCACTCTTTGTGGCCTTCATAGATCTCACAAAGGCCTTTGATTTGGTTAGCATGGACGGCCTTTTTAAAATACTTCCCAAGATTGGATGCCCATCTTGACTCCTTAACATCATCAGGTCCTTTCATGAGGGAATGAAGGACACTGTAGTTTTTGATGGCTCAACATCGGATCCCTTTGACATCCGAAGTAGAGTGAAAAAGGGCTGTGTCCTTGCACTGACCCTGTTTGGGATCTTTTTTGCTGTCATGCTGAAGCAGGCCTTTGGAACTGCAACAAAAGGTGTGTAGCTCTGGACTAGATCAGATGGCAAGCTCTCTAATATCTCTAGATTGAGAGAGAAGACCAAAGTCCAGCTAAAGTGCATGTGGGACTTCCTCTTCACCGACGATGCAGCTGTTGTTACCCACTCTGCTGAAGACCTCCAACAACTCATGAATTGTTTTAGCCAGGTTTGCCAAGACTTTTAACAATCAGCCTGAAGAAAACACAATTCATGGGCCAGGACATAGACTCACCTCCCTCTTTATTATCTCCACACAAGAACTGGAGGTTGTTCATGACTTTGTGTACCTTGGCTCAATAATCTAGGACATCCTCTCCCTAGATGCCGAGCTGTATAAACACACTGGTAAAGCAGCTACCCTGTTTTCCCGAATATAAGACCTAACCTAAAAATAAGCCCTAGTATTATTTTTCAGGATGCTCGTAATATAAGCCCTACCCCCAAAATAAGCCCTAGTTAAGTGAAATCCCACCCTCCATCATTGTGCAGCATTGTGCATCAATCAAAAGATAACATGACAATATTTGAATATATGTAGATTGTTGTACATGAAAAAATAAAATAAAATAAGCCCTACTGCATTTTGGAGCAAAAATTAATATAAGATCCTGTTTTATTTTATTTTCAGGGAAACATGGTACCACGTTCTCTAGACTCACAAAGATAGTACAGCTTAATAAGAAGTTGATAGCCTATACCAAGATCCAGGTCTATAGAGCCTGTGTTCTGACTACACTCCTGTACTGCAGCGAGTCCTGGACTCTTTGTGCATGGCAGGAGAGGAAGTTGAACACATTCCATATGCATTGTCTCCTGACAGGACAAAGTTCCAAATAGAGTAGTCCTAGAACGAGCTGGAATTTTTAGGATGTATACATTACTGAAACAGCGACGTCTACATTGGCTTGGGCATGTCATGAGAATGGCTGATCGTTGGATTCCAAAAGATCTCCTGTATGGAGAATTAGTGCAGGCAAAGCGCCGCAGAGGGAGACCACAGCTGCGATACAAGGACATCTGCAAGCAGGATCTGAAGGCCTTAGGAATGAACCTCAACAGATGGGAAAACTTGACACCTGAGCGTTAAGTCTGGAGGCAGGTGGTGCATCATGGCCTCTCCCATTTTGAAAAGACACTTGTTCAGTTCCCCGAGGCAAAGTCCCAAAACCAGCAAAATCAGGGAGTTTGACAGGGGACAGATTGTATTTGTCTTCAGTATGGAAGGGATTGTCACTCTCAAATTGGCCTTCCCAGCCATACTAGACACTGTTCCAAGTTCTCCATATAGAGCACGTTACCATAGTCTCTCGAGACTGAAGGATGCCTAATCTAATCTCCCCTCTTCTGCAATTCTCTCATAGGGAAGGGATCAGCAGAGAGACTATGGTTAGAATTTGCAAGACTATATTACAAGATCCCAAAAAGAGTTTTATTTTTAAGTCATTCATTACCCACCTACCACTTTTTTCTTATAAAAGGCAACTTTTCAGTGTTACTCTTTATTTAACAAGTGCCACATCAGTAACACATTAATTTTTCATTGTGTTTTTGAAATGTAATTGAAATATATATTAAAAAAGAACAGTACTAGCCCAGCTTTTCACAAAATGATTCTCCAAAGCAACATTTAAGATTAATGAATAAACATTATTAATTACATTAAAAAGTAGAAATGGTTCTAGTCCTTATGTTACCTTTAAAAAAATAATATTGTTATGCCATCATCACTCTCCAAAAGATGTCTTACAAAGTCTCTCTCTCTCTCCCTCTCTTTGCCACTGTGCCCCTTCTCAACCCTGTATGCACCTATGCACACACAAACACATGCATGGAACAGAAGGGAAACCAATTCTGATGTGGGCAGTCAAGAAAGTGTGGGCCTCAAGCACTAGTATCCACAGGCTGCAGATTCTTAAAGAAAGATCCAGATGCCTTACTAATCCCTACAAAGGTCTTTGGAATGGCTAGCTGAAGGAACCAACATGTTTCACAAGAGCAGTCAATTCACTCATTAACACAAGAATCAATGTCCTCACCCTGATTCTGTGTAGTGTGGTAATCATAAAAGAATTATCACTAGTTTAGCAGCTAGGAATGGAGTATGGTATCTGAAAGTAGCTAACATTGATGGCCAGATTTTGGTCTAAATGGACAGCAGGAGTGCCACTCACTTCCTTAAGACCTCAATACCATTCCCTCAGAATTTTGAGTGCCTGGAAAGGCAAAATGCCTTTTTCAGACAGCGCAGGCTTTGCGATTATTTACCATGCTTAGAGGCATGGATTTTACAGGGTTGCAGGGGAGGGCAAATGAATTGGTATTAGTCACATTTATACCTTGATTTTCCTGCAGTTAGTTCAAGAAGGCATACATGGCTGTCTTCCTCTCCACTTTCAGCTTAGAATGACCCAATGAGTTGGTCAGGCTTACACCGACAGTGTTTGGCCAAGGGCTACCCAGTGAATTTCACAGATGAGTAGGGACATGAATTTGGATTTCCAGACCAAGTCTAACCTTAATACCACCCTTTCACATCAATGTGCCATTTTAGCTACTATTTCTTATCTTGAGAAGCTGAATGCTCTGGCTGATGGATCACTCAAGCACAAAGACTTTCATCTGGCTTTACAAAAGCAAGTGAGAAAGAAAAACACATAGCAAAACCCAACAAGCTCATCCCACCCCATCCCACACTGCAGCAACCTCTTGCCTTGTTGAGGTAAAGGTAAAGGTTCCCCTTGACAATTTTTGTCCAGTCGTGTTCGACTCTAGGGGGCGGTGCTCATCCCCATTTTCAAGCCATAGAGCCAGCATTTTGTCCAAAGACAATCTTCCATGGTCACATGGCCAGTGCGACTTAGACACGGAACGCTGTTACCTTCCCACCGAGGTGGTCCCTATTAATCTACTTGCATTTGCATGCTTTTGAACCGCTAGGTTGGCGGGAGCTGGGACAAGCGACGGATTCGATCTTACGACTGCTGGTCTTCTGACCCTGCAGCACAGGCTTCTGTGGATTAGCCCACAGCGCCACCACATCCCCCTACCTTGTTAAACCCTGCACTTTTATTTTCTTTAATTCTTTCAATTCTGGTTATGACCGCCTTGCTCATATTTGGATGTAATATGTCCTAAAAATTTTTTTTAAAAGAGAGTACAGGAGGAGACAAAACTATTATTTTTCAAACAGAGAAACAGTATGCTTTAGTATGTAAGCGTGTTGTGCCGTGACTGGGAGATCCTGCTCTGCTACAAAATTCACAATGTGACCCTGGGTCTATCATTCTGTTTCTCCGTATGTCTCTCTTTCTAAGCTTAACCTAACTCACAGTGGCATTGTGAAGATAAAGAACAGGGGAGAAGAGCCATGTGGATCTCCTTGACATTTTACAGAAAAGATGGCGTTTATACATTTAACAAATAAATTCATAATAACATGGAAAGCAGGTGCCTTGGAAAACATCAGCATATGCATGTGTGTGGATACTGGTTACTGAAATTTCCAGAGGCTACCTGTATTAGGGTGTAATCAGACTGGGATTTGTCCCACAATTTGATCTGGTTTGGGCATGGGCTGATTCACTCCTTTTTCCAGTGACTATATGACATGCAGGCAATCACTAGCCAGCCTGACTTCTATCTATGCTTATCTGCATCTTTTCTTAGTCCTAGTCAGGGGCTACTGTTTTGGGTTTATTTCCAGTGAAGATAGGATCACCCCATTTTACATCAGTTTCCAACATGTGTGATTCCCAGTACTGGTAGCCCCCGCTCCCCGCACCCAATTCAGTGCTGTATCACTTGGGTAGCAAGCCAATGAAATCAAATGTTATTTACCAATAAAAGGGGGGGAAATCCAGTTCTCCCCCCCCTCTTTCCTACACAAGGGGTGCCAGGAGAGAAAATGTAGGGTGATCTCTTTTCCCCCCCTTTACAGTCCACTGCTGTTTCACTTAGATGACAAGCCAATAAAGTAATGTGTCACTTACTAATAAATGAAAAAAAAATCCAGCTTTCCCCCACTTCCCCTTTGGAGAGGGAGGCAGGAGAGGATGGGGTGAGCATGGAGGCTCAGGGGGAAGTGAGCCCAAATGGAATTGCTTTGAGGTGTGGTGTGCTTTCCTGTACCAAAACCGCCCAGTCCTTCCAGATGGATGCAAGGATCATTCTAAATCTTATACTGAACTGGTTAGCCCAGGATAATTTCCCCATCTAATCACACTTTTAGTCTGCAGCAGCCAAACCAAGAAAGAGTCTTTTGGCATCTTAAAGACTAAAAAAGTTTTGGCATAGATTTTTGTAGACTGCAGCTCAGGGTGCCACTACACAGTTCCACACATTTAGCTGTATGTTATAAAGTTGCCAGTAAATACTTCAGTTTTAACTGTGCCAACTCTCATGCAAATTGCAGGGTAAATTGCCAATGTAGTTACATCCTTAGTCCTTGCATCTGAAGAGCTCAGCTGAAGTCCATGAAAGCTGATGCCAAATAAAGCCCATTAGTCTTTTAACATGGCATAAAAGCTTTTGGTCTATTAATGGCTTTGTGTGAACATGTTAAATGCATAACTGCCTCTCAATGAGTGTGGAGGACATGGGTATGGTGACGGTTTGGATGATCCTCCCACTTTTTAACTTTGCCCACTCATTGATGGCATGCGATACACCATGCAGAATAACAATATATGACTGAAATACTTTGGCCAAAAATGTTCCCCAAACTCTACAAGAACTGCTCACTATAGAATTAGAATTAGTCAGAAGCCTTCTCTCTCTCTCTCTCTCTCTCTCTTTGCCTGCCTTCCTTACATTGATAATAGGCACATAGGCACTTCTCCTCCAACAGCTGCCATCTTTGTCATTGCCCCACTGTGCTACAGATGCTGAGACTTCCTGCCTCTGCTAAGATATTGCCGAGGATGCACATATGCAGAAGGAAATACATTTTACACATACCTTACTCCATTGGCCACGAGGGCCGCCATAGATCGCGAAGGAGTCACATTCCGTGCCATGATGCCTAAGGACTGGTCAGCTGCTTTCTGAATAAATTCACTAGAATCACCCGCCTTCTGGAGAAGCACCCGGGAAATCTCCTCAACATCTTGATCCATCTGCTTCTTCATGGTCTTAAAGAGTTCCTCAAGAGTTCCAATAGCAAACCGAGACACCTTGGACCGAAGGTTGCTAACCTGGTAGAGGAAATACTATGTATGAAACCTTCACAAGTCAGGTGACCCCTATTTGTGTTTGCACATTCTGATGTATCCATCAATGGGGCAGTTCACCACCATACACATGATGGTACTTCTCTTATCCAAGTACTGTAGATCAGCGGTTCCCAGTCTTTTTGGGGCCGTGGACTGGGTGGGGGAGTCAGCGTGACCCCCCCATGAGCATGACATGCCCTCCCACATGTGAATGCAGGGGGGGCGGAGATTCGTATCTGCAGCCCAGTTCCGCCAAGCCACGGACCGGCACTGAGCCGCGGACCGTGATTTGATGACCCTTTCTGTAGATAATACCATGCCACAGAATGCATCAATCAACTAAAACAGTTCCAGAGCAAGCGTCCATATGGTGTACTTATCGTGGATATGAAGAACATTAAAATATATCTGTTTTGGGATAGCTCCCTGAGAAGGAATACCATAGTGTGGGAAGAAACAGACAGGTATACACAGAAAGTAGTGACTTTTATCTTGCACCTCAGTGAATCAGACTCATGGATCCTCAGGAGTGCCACGCCAGGAGTTCAATCTGCTCATGGAAAGGCTGAAAAGGGGAGGGGGAGGCAAAGCTTAGAAAAGCTAACTTTTCAAGGTTATAGCTCCCAGCATCCTCGAGCACTGGCCCTGTTGCATGGGCCAGTGCTCAAGGCAATTTATTTGGACTGCAGTTCTGAACTGCAGTCCAAATAAATAAAATTTACAAACTCTGGTGTAGTGTAGTGCACACACACACACAATCCCTGTCCCCATGTTCTATACTCCTGATTGCATGGAGCTGCAGAAACTCTCACAACTCCCTTTTAGTTCTTAGCACTAAATGTATGAAGGTCCTTTAAATGAACTTGCATACTTTGGGACATGGGCACAAGGAAACTTGCCTGCACACCCTTCCACATAGCCTACATAGTTTTTTAGAGAAAGCCTTATTATACTCTAATATTTATTCAGTTCTGAGCAAACTACATAGCGACTACATAGCAGTCAAGTCATCTGAATCAAACCAGAAATTTCTCTTTTTTTCATTTTCTCCTATGTTTTCTCCTCTCATTTTCTCCTCAAGTTGAACAAGATATGAAAGGCAACTACTGGACTGCAAATTTGATTGCAGTGGTAGTGGAGGAAAGGGGCCAATCTCGAGTGGAGCTTCCTATCTTCAAATTCTCAAAGCACGTTTGCATCTGAAAGTGGGAAAATGTTTGGATTCCAGAAAAATCAATCCTAAATTCAGATGAGAGTGTGAAGATGCCTTAACCCTCCTATAATCTGGGAATAGGCTACACATCCATAACTCTACAGAAAGCTGGAGACTACAAATTACACAAATGGTCAGCCATTATTTGCTGTGGACGACAAAAAGCTTAATGGCTTTTCCAACTTGGCTCTGTTAAGAGTCTGTTCATCTGCTGCGCAAACAAAGAACAAGTATAGAGATTGCCCCTGTGGTTTCTTTTACCTCCTGCTTTTTATTAGAAGGGTTTAAAATGAAAGCAATAAAGCTCTCCATTAACTGGTCAAATAAAGAGCAAAGCTGCTCAGCGCAGGCATGGGTGAACACACTCCCCGGAATCCAAACATTGGCAAGCTCTCAGAGTCCGACACAAGCTCTCCAGGAATGTCAGATTGTGTTCACTTTTGGGTAATGTGGGTGACTTTATTTAGACACTGTTTCCATTTTTCGTAATAGAAATTAAGGTCTACCCATTTTGCTACCTGAGACACAGAACTAAAAAACATCCCCTTCCCAGGCCCAATACAGAAGTTGACAGGACAGGCAGTTGAATCTTGTTTGGACACTAGTTGTAGGATAGTGTCTACCCCAAAGTGGGGCAGCAGGCCTAGAAGGAAACAGGAGGGCCATCAGCAACTATTGTTTTATCCTCCACTTCAAACAGGTAGACTTAACATACGGAGTTATTTCTTTTGAAAAGTGGGTTTACTGGCATTGAACATTTTTAAGCAGGCTCTTACAAATCATCTATCAGAACTGCTGCATTGTATCAGATCTCCTGTATCAGCAAAGAGTAGTCGAGATGGCTTCTGAAGTTACTTCCAACTCTTATGATTCTACTCTGTTTTAACCATTTTATTGGTTTGATATTATTATGTTGAATATTATCTATTTCTGTCCTTAATTGTTTTTTCTAAACATTTGAGAGACAATAGTCCTTTCAGGTTTTTATGGTCAAAACCTTTATTCTTTTCCTTAAAAATAAAGGGTTATGGCCCTAGAAACAGAAAATCAAAGAGAAAAAGTGAGTGAGAGAGAAAAAAAACCCGAATAGATGAAATGGGTGAGAGAATTTAATTTTAATTTACTTGTGATAAGAACTTAGCAAAATTTGTGGATTTCTTTTTGTCCAGGAGGCAAAAAAACTTGAGAATTTTAAAAAAAATCTAAGTATGGGAAGAAGCAAAACTGATAGATCCATCTATTTGGGTCCAGGACTTAAAATGGTTCTTATAAGTCTGAGTTTGAAATCCTATTATTTCAACTAGGTAAGTGCTACATAGGCTTGTGAAATCCACAGAAAGGCTTGACAGAAACCTGTTTTATAAACTTCTTTGTTTTTCTAAGAAGCTCCTCAACACCTTATAATGGCAGGCAGCTACAACATGAGAAGGTACCTGTTGAATTTGGGCACTGTGAATGAAGGAAAAGCTAATTGCAGCTTATTTTTGAAAGAGTTGTTCAGATTAGCAAACTATATAGCTGGCTGGAAATAAACTGAGACTTAAACAAGACAAATAAAAAAGAAAAGGTAGAGGTGACATATTTTCACATCCCTAAAATGGTTCAGCTAAAAATGGAGTTCATCTGAAATAGGGGAGCAATCTTGTTTTAAAACCCTACAGCAGACGTATTTGTGAAAGTGAAGAATGTACATGCTGAGCCTTACTCTCGGGCACAAGCCTCTGAACCAGATCTTGGAACACGAGGTTCAAAAAGGTTAAAATCTGTGAAATTTAAATATTAGAAATTAGAATAATTACTTGTTACTATTAATGTTAAACTGAAAATGTGTAATGCATTAAATTAATGCTATTAACAAATCCACTTGATCTACATTATAGTCATTTTTGGTCTGAGCTGTTATTGAAAGAATTGTTCCCAGCTTTAGCACAAGAGTGGTAACAGCAGAAGAAGGCAAGCATGTCTCCATAGGCTGGTAAAGAAGGAACAAGCCACAGGTTTGTAAAATCCATATAAAGACATGACATAAACCTACAGTATTTTTAACATGGTACGGATCCTTCTCAGTTTCATAACTAGACCCAGTTGTACAGTATTCCCAAATACAATAAAGTCACTGTATGAATACAACTTGTTGAACACTAGCCAACATTTACCACAGCTGTAGTGATTCAGTGGCCAGTATCCTGGTCCACAGCTCCGCCAGTGCAGCAGGAGTAACATCACCAGCAACGGCAGATTGCCAGTAACTAAAAAGTTCCTGTTTCAAAATATTGGGCTTCACATTGCTTCATCTCACTGCACACGGGTCATGTGCAACGCAAAACTGAATCAGCGACTCTTTAACTGGCAGGTGCTGGTGGCAATGTCCCTCTCACTGTATGTACGAATGGAGGTATGGAACTGGATACCATCCAGCCAATTTGCTACAATTGGCACTAACAACTGGATTTAGTCCAAAGTGCAGTTTCTGATATCAAGGTGGGCATCCAGTTAATTCCAGCCTTCTTCCCCCCAACCCGTATTTTTTAATATGACTGTCTAGTCACCCTGACAGCTAATAGGTATCTGAGAAAATCGTCAAGAGGGCATAGCTTGACCGTCCAGAGGCCACAAAACAGGGCTGCCTGCAGCTCTCTCCCCTTCTGCCATGAAGGGAGTTCTCTGATGTACCAAATACATGTTCCTCCTCTGCATTCTTTTTCCCCTCTCCAAACACTCTCTCCTTTATTGGTTCTCTTCCTTCCTAACTAAGGTAAGAAGTCTTTAAAAACGTAAGTTTCAGAAACAGGCAGCTTTATACAAGTGTAGCCTGAAAGCCGGATCAATTCAATGCAGAGGTTTGGTTCCACCCCCCTTTTGTGCAAACTATACATAACTTATTAATTATATATGTAATAATAATAGAGTCTGTTTTTCCTTTTTATCTTGTAAAATAGCATACTTTTGCAGGTACTGAAAGGAATAAAAGCTGCTCAGAGACACGTCGGCTAAATAGAAACAGATTGCAAAGCATCCGTTAACTCACAGAGGAGGACAGAACGGGCCATGTTCCCCACCTCTTTCGTAGCTGCCAAGGAAACATCATGAAGTCTACACTGGAGAACTTCTGAATGGCAGGTGGCCAAGCATCTAATGGTGAAGAGTCCTTTCTCCTTTAAACGCCTGGGAAGCCATTATCACGGAGGAAATGGAAGGAAAGAAAAGAGAGGATAAATTATCAGCCTTGCTTGGCATTTTGCAGAAACCAGATTCTTCACAGCAGCAAGAGTGTCTGAAAATGAGATGTGTCATAGAAGTCACACACTCGGACTTAGCAAAGAAGAAAAAAAGCAAAGACGCTGCATTTAGCAGAAACTCTTATAAACCGTGGCTTTTTAAACAGCGATGGGGGTGAAAATAACTTTCACCACCAGTCTATGTGCCAGATAGAATCTCCCATAAATTAAGCTGAATAAAGAGAGTGATTGATTTACTTGTTCCACATGATAGGCTCCATCCTTGGAAAGGCTGAGACCTGTATAGCAGGCTCAGGAGACAAAGCCTCCTTTCCCTTGCCTCTAAAATACAGTATATATTTTTAAATACTTTTGCCAGTAAGTCCTCCTCTGCTCTAGCTCACTGAATTAACAGCACCACCTATTGGTGAGCTGGTGACAAAAAGTGACACAGCTGATGAATTCCAGAGGCAGCCATGCTAACCCTATAGCAACAAAACAAAGGAAGGGAGGAAGGATCTTGTTGGTCCTTGTTAAAGACTAATATTTATTATGCTGTGACATACGCTTAGTGGACTAGAGACATTTCATAGACGTGTGAAAACCATTGCTCTCATTTGGCAAGTATACACAAGAAGATACTGTACAGCCTCTAGATATGATGGTGAATTTTTTCATTGTTTATTTTTATTGTTCTAATTCCTTTTCAACAAAGGTTGTGCATCAGTACAGCTATTCTGACTTTATGCATTACTTCACTGAACTGATTAGATACCTTTCTATCCAAAATGACACTCAAGACAGTTAATAACACTCAATTAAAAACAGGCACAGAATTAACATAGAAAAAGCAGATTAAAACAAGGAGTGGCTCATCATCTGAGCAAGGGGCGACTCACCCTAAAATTTCAGAGTGAATCCCTCCTGCTCAGATCACAGGCCACCTAGAATTGAGCACAGGTAAAATGCATGAATTAAAAGAACTAACTACACCCACTATTTTAAAATTCAGTTCAGCAGCAACTCTTTGTAAATGCCAGAAACCTGCCTGAATGATAACATCTTTGCCTAGCTAAGGAAAACAGATAGAGAACCAGCCTATCTAGCAGGGCTGGCAAAAACCCTGACAGACAAAAAAGCAAAGATATTTAGAAAGAAAGAAAGAAAGAAAGAAAGAAAGAAAGAAAGAAAGAAAGAAAGAAAGAAAGAAAGAAAGAAAGAAAGAAAGAAAGAAAGAAAGAAAGAAAGAAAGAAAGAAAGAAAGAAAGAAATTGACATTGAAATCAGATTTCTAAAAATTATCATTGTTAAACTTTTTTAAGGCCTATGTGATGATAGAGTAATTTAAAATGCAATCACTCAAAGATCTATTTATGAAATAAGCATCATGCATTCCAATTTTATTTTTTCTATTTTTGGAGAAAGTATATTTTTAAATTTTTTAAAAAAAATATTTTTGATATAAACAAAATCATGCAAACATAAAAACATGGATTCTTGGGAGGAATTAAAAGCATCCTATTCCACATGCACCCAGATTCCAGGGGATCCTGTTTACTGAGAAAGTCACTGTTCAGTGACTAGGAGTCACTGAACAGGGCAGGGAATGATTTAAAGCTTCTGGGACTGATGACAGCAATTTTCCAGCTTTATTTCCTATCTTTTTCCAAGTCTCCCCGAAGCTTCCCCAAGTTGAACAGGATCCCTAAGAAGCTTTCAATTCCTCCAAAAAGGTTGTAGCATAAGCTTTGTAGCTCATGATATCATCTGAGTTGCATGCAGAGCTCACACAACAGGATTCCTTTTAAAAAAAATTTTTACTGCTTGGGAAATGAGAGATGAAATATTCTGCCTTCAGCTTCAAAATATCAGTGCATTGGGTGAGGAAGGAAATCACTACAGGAAGCAAAAATGTCTTAGTCACTACATGCCTAGGTGTGTGTATAATCCTACATCTTACTAAGTGGATTTTAATTTGCATAAAAGCTTATGTTACAGTATATCATATTTTGAAGGCCTCATAGGCTCTTTTTTTGGCTGAAAATGCACAGGTTATGAATTCAAGAGTTTTCCTCAGGAGTTTTCACACATAAGGCTTCAATTTCAACTTCTTCTTTAAATTTGTGTGAAATCCAAATGTAAAACTGACATCAAGAATGTGTGTTCAATTCTTTATCTTCCCCAATGACAACATGAACATATGTCACAGGACCAGGAAGGAAGGAAGGAAGGAAGGAAGGAAGGAAGGAAGGAATTTACAATTGTATCAGCTAAATCAGAAAGCATTCCTAAATCCTTGAAAATCTCTGGAAGATTCCACATATACTGGTTGCTAACTTTCAGATATAAACACAAACACTTTTACAGTGTACCTTCTCTGACAGAAAGGCCTGGTTTCTTTTTTGGCCAGTGCCCTACCCATTTTTGTGTTAAAGCAACATAACAACATTTGTTGTTTTAAAACACCTTTCAGAGACATCATTTTAACAATATCATACGGGAATTAAGTTGTTCATATTTTCAATAGAATCCTAATAATGTGTTTTACAGGATGATTTTCATCATCAAGCTGTAAAGAACAGAACCTCAAAACTAGAGCTATGGTGGGTGTTTATACGGGGTTAATGGAGTTGTATTCGGGGGGGGCTCTAAGACATGGGATGAAACAATAGGAAAGGAATAAATTAGGGGGAATGGACAGAATGAAGGTGATGGGATATATTTTTGATGGAAGGATGTTTTATGACCTAGTGCAAAGGAGTAAAGAAACGGGGGGGAAAGGCAAAATTCTTTCCTTACCAGTCATTGCTATTTAGCCACTTCAGAGCATCTACCAGCCCCTGTTCTGGGTGAGACAAAGGTCTTATTTCCAAGGCATATCTGGTTAAAAAGTCTTCCTCCCATTCTGGAGAACCTTGGAGATTCGCTGGGAGCGAGTTAGCTGAAAGTTGGGGGAGAGGGAAGAGGAGAAAGATCCAACAATATAATTATAGTGATATTGATGCTCAGAAAATTATAGTTAAGACTGGTTGCTATAGGAAGGATTTATACTTTTCTCCATTGCTTTTAGATGCAGAGATGACTTGCAGTCCATGGAAAATATTGCAGAGATTATAAATGAGAAGGGGCTGTTGGGAAGGTGGTGTTCTTCCAAAGTTGTGGATGACAGGTTGTTGGAGGGTTTTGTTTTATGTTTTTTTGTTTTTTGTTTTGCAACCTTGCATACTGCCTTTAGTAGGTTTCGCTGGGAAAGATCTTTCTGGGCTGGGGTTATTGTTAATCACTAACCAGTAGTTTCTTCCCTGCCTCTCTGCTCAGAATTCTTTTCCCCTCACCCTAATCTGTAGGAAGCCGTCTGTAGTCTGTTGGGGCCTGTTTCTGAATGCCAGTCACCCATGTTTGTCAGTTTTGTTATTTGATCTGTTCAACTGTAAGGAAAGTTTTTTTTTAATTCTTTCTACTTCAAATGTCTCAGAATGGGACTGTAATTGACTGTTATTGAGACTGTAAATGCCTTTTGATGAGAAAAGGGGGTATTCTACGCTGGAGAACTTGAAACTATTCTGCTCTATGAATTTATTTATTTTATTTATTTATTTCATTTATACCCCACCTATCTGGTCGTTACGAATCCCTGTACTTCTGCTGCACAGCTAGAGGAATTTAACCAACATTCGAAACTGTGCAACACAAGAATCAAAAGTTCCACAGGCAATGATTTGGGACTCTAGGAGTTGAAGTCCAATATATCATGTTGACCTGCTGTACCCTGTGAGATACCAGTCCCCTCCAGGACCCAAACTAGACGGATGTGTTAAGGCTTTCCTGCCATCTTGTCCATTGAGCAAGAGGGCAGAGGCAGCAGTATCAACAAGTTGCAGTTGCTCTCCAGTTTCTACCCTTCTTATCTCAAAATGTAAGCATCAGCAATAATTCTAGCAGGAGTTCAGTGGCTCCCCTACACCATTAACCTCCATACAACCAGAATGGTTTGCCAAGACTTTACTTGGGACTCAGGAGGAATTTTTAACACCCCTCTCTTGCCCCCCACACTGCAAATCAGACAGAGACGCAAAGGCTGTAGCATTGTTGTAAATTGACACTGCCTAACAATTTGACTGCACTATATCACTTCTGGTTATGGGGACCCTGAAAGCTTGGAAGAGGCAATGGGAGAATCCCAGGGTTCTGTCTCAAGAGGGAAACAGCATCTTCGGTCTGAGAGACCAAGGAGGAAGTGGAGAGTGGTGGCTAAATGAGGATGCAAAATAGGAGAAACCAGGAGCATGTGTGCCATCCATCAGCCTGACTGTGCCTTATGCGGCTGCCTCTTGGAAGAAGAGCCAAGTCATAATCAGGAGAATTGCATATCTAAATATTCTACATATGTAAAAGATCTCCTAAGATGCTTCCATGATTTAAAATTAACTACCCATATTCTTTCCCCTTTGCCTCTACTCTTTTTGATTCTCTCTAGCCCTGTTCCGGCATTAGATTGCATGCATGAGGGCAGCAATGAAGGAATAAAAAAGTTTGTCAAGTGTAAGGATGTGTCACTGGAGGCCTTGGTCAAGATCATCCACACTCTTGTACTGTACTCCAGATCATTATATACAGGTGTGGAAGCTGAACAGTAAAGAAAGCTGACAGGGGAAAAAACGTTTGAAATGTGGTGCTGGAGAAGAGCTTTGTTAATACCCTGGACTGCCAGAAAGGAAGCCACAGGCTCGGGTTTACAATTGACGAGCAGGGCAGTTAAGGACAGGTCGTGTTGGAGAGAGCTTATTCATAGGGTTGTCATGAGTCGGAGGTGACTTGATGGCATATAACAACATCGGAAATGTTCAAATTGGTAAGAATGACATCTTGCCATACCCACTTTGCTGTGACCCTAATCCTATCCATCCTTGACCCAAGTTCCAAAAAGCCCTGGCTTGCAGTCAGTGTTAGAACGTAGTGCTCAAGACCGTCTCAAATTGGAACTCAACCCCTGCACTGGAAAAAAGTTCTCGATTCCTGCTCTAAGATAGCCAGTTATTTTTCAAGATTTAGCACACCAACCAGCACAATGGCAAAAGAGGCTGTGTTTGTTTTTTATCCCTCATGAGTCCACACTCCACTTTAATTGCTTACCCGAAGCATGTCTCAAGAAGCTACTGTCATGGTTGATGACAGGAATATTGGGGAGCGACGGCCGGTTCACCCGTTTCTTCAAGGCTGTTCCAAAAGGAGCTCGGCCGGGGTTGTTCAGGCCAATTGCAACCAGTGTGGCCCCATTGCTGTTAGGTGGGCTGGAACCTGCTGACAATAATTTAGTGAGGTCAGCAGGAGAGTCAAGCAGCAAAATACAATAAAAATGTCTCAAAAAAAATAGGGCTGGTCCAAGTACAGCTCCTTGAATAAATAGCAGCTTAGATATCCCCATCAATTTTGCAATTTTGCCAAGCTGTGCTTAGCATGTATATAGTATTTGCAGTAATTAGTAATGTCGCTTCATAGGAAAAAAACTTTCTCCTAGTTTTTCTTGAGATCAAGAAACATCAAAAAAGAAATAAATCTGAAAGTTTCCAGATGGATGTTCATCATTAATATCCAGATAAGATATTGGACTTTAGAAATTAAATATGCTCCTTTCTTTCTTCTTCTTAACCCCTGCACATGGAACACTAAAAACACATCTTGGAGTTCAGGATAACCAATGGGTTGCTCTCCCCAAGGCTAGCTCTGATTGGTTCATTGGTAGAAGGAGGTGCATCCATTACAGAAGCCTTCTGCAATATAGGGCTGTCTATGTAGGGCTGTCTATGTATGCTTGACTATAGCTCACATAATCCTGAACCAGCATGGGCATTACTGTCTGGAGTGATCGGAATTCTGGTTCAAGGACACCATGTTGAGGGAAGTCTGCTCAATGTTCCTGAGATGACATTTTTTCATGTGACCTAAGTCACCACCTACCAGCGGAAAATGTTCTTCAGAAACATTTATCCACACAACCATACCAGAAATATTTCCATAATCAAAAAATGTGTTAGGCATTCCATCAAAGGTTTCTGTCGAGAAAGGTCAGCCAGGTTCTGACTAATGCCAACTAATGACATCATTGTGGACTAATGGTGTGTGTGTGTGTGTGTGTGTGTGTGGGTGTGTGTGTGGGTGGGTGCGCGTGTGTGCGTGTGTGTATGTGTGTGTATCTATGTATGTATATGTGTGTATATGTGTGTATATATATATGTGTGTGTGTATATATATAAAAATGGTGTGTGTGTGTACATACACATACACCATTATTTATATATACAGTATAATGGCGTGTTTGTGCTTAAATTCTATACAAATATGTCACAACTGGCTCCATCTGTGAAGATTCATTATTTCCTATGTTACACACACACACACCACCACCACCAACAACAACAACAACAACAACAACAATCTCTTCAATCCCCCACCACGACATACAAAACCCAAACAAATTACCATAAAGAATTGCTGCTGACTAATAAGGGGCCAGTCACATTACCAGGTGTATGCTGCCTGATTGTGCAACATTTATGTGCACTTAGTAGTGTGGCTGATGCCATATCAGCTAGTAATAATTAGCTGCAGCAAGTGACTTACATTCATGCACATCACCAACAGTTCTGTCCTTAGATTAATCAATTGATGGACCAAATATTATGGATCTTGTTCCAGTTTCTATGCATGGAGTCATATTTTAAAAAACCACCTGCAAACAGAGCTCTGAGGCTGATATCTTCCCTTCTGCCAGTATTAAAGGAAACAGTTAATTGACCTTGCCCCCATGGTCATGGTCTGGCAGAGGGCTGGCCTCCAGCCCTATGTATCTCTGCAGCAGCCACCCAATTATAACCAACCTCTTCCCCACTCCCTCTCAAGCATCCACATACCTTTCTGAGCAGTTTTCTGTAACTGTTCTTGGAACAACATTGATCTTTCCTTTTCTCCCTCTTTCTCCTTCTCTCTTTCTTTGCGCAAAATCTCTATTTCCTTTAGCTGCTTCTGCCGCATTTTCTCTTGAGCTGATTTGGATATGGTCACTTGAATCTGGGTAACAAAAGAAACACACAGTAGTTTTTAAGGCAGCAGTAAGGGGATATGTGGGACGTGGTGGCGCTGTGGGTTAAACCACAGAAGCCTCTGTGCTGCAGGGTCAGAAGACCTGCAGTCGTAAGATCGAATCCACGCAACGGAGTGAGCTCCCGTCGCTTGTCCCAGTTCCTGCCAACCTAGCAGTTCGAAAGCATGTAAAATGCGAGCAGATAAATAGGCACCACCATGGTGGGAACGTAACAGCATTCCATGTCTAGTTGCGCTGGCCACATGACCACGGAAATGGTCTTTGTACAAACGCTGGCTCTACGGCTTGGAAACGGGGATGAGCACCGCGCCATAGAGTCTGACACGACTGGACTAAATATCAAGGGGAACCATTACCTTTAGGGAGATATGTATGGGTTCCCTCTTTCAAGAATGAAGAGCTTTGGACCACAGCATGATATAATGAATTTCAACACAGAGCATAAGCCATTTCATAAATCCTGGTATGTGATAGAGCAAGATAAATATACAATAAAAACTAACAATATTACAGTTTTCTTATCTTTTCATAAGAGTAACTCCCTGAAATTTGTCTGCTGGAATAAATGCCATATTAAATATATGCTACCTAGTTAAGGCATAATACATATGCCCATGTGTGCTTTCGTACTCTGAAGAAAGCACACATGGGCATGATCCAGATTGGTAGTTTAGGAAGCAAAAACATCAATGGAGATTTTTTCCATTCATTCCCTTCCCTTCCCTTCCATTCCATTCCCTTGTGTGGCCTTTTAACTCTCACAGATAGAAGGAGGAAATTAAAATATGGGGGAAATATTTATTCCTTCTATATGGATTGAGAGAGAGAGAGAGAGAGAGAGAGAGAGGCTCGTTCTCCATACTGTCTACTTCAACATGTTGCGTAGTTTAGTCTCAAGCAGTGGAGAACCCAGTGATCAAAACCCTCTTGCTGAGAGCCACCTGTTCAGCAAGACTGACATAAACAACAGTGGCAGGTGGTCCCGATTCTCGATTAAAGGCTTCCTTTTCTAATTTGGGTGTGTGTGTGTGAATGCAGTGCAGGTGCATATACCCTGAAATCACACCAGAAAAGCCCTCAACCAGTGGCAATTCCTGCTTTCTGTGATGTCATTCCCCTGTGCAAGTGGCCTTGCTCAATCGGATCTCAGCCAGAAAGTTTACTGAGAAAAGTAGCCAGATCAATTGCTAACACTTGTGTCTGAAACAATGTTTTTTTTTTTTTTTGACAAGTAGTGTGGCCTATGAAATATAATTTATCTATTCAATACTGACATGGATCTTTAAGTGTGACCTCAGGGCCTAATTAGACATGAGTCATAAAGTGTGACCTCTAAAAAGCAACTGCACCGGGGTTGGCAGTGGCAGCAGAATAAAAATGGATCAGGCCAGGGGAAATAGGATTATAACATCACTGCTTCTTGTACTATTGCTTAATTCAAATCCAATCCCTGAAGCTGGCTGTAGCCTTGGAGAAGAAAAAGACAGGTACAAAATGGTCATTTACAGCAAAACAGCAAGCTTGAGGGCTCTTCGTGGGTTTTTGTGGACTATAGCCCACTACAATTCATGAAAGTGTATGCTAAATAAAACCTGTTAGGCTTTACGGTGCCACAAGACTCTTTGCTATTTTTACTGAACAGACTACACACAAATTAACATATATGGGATCAATCACACATGAGAAAAGAACTCCAGATTCTTTTAATACCTTTGTTGTACTGTACTTCTATTTTTCCCCCCAAAGGTCACATGGCATATATACATATGCATTCACATTGTTTTTAACTGCACCAACTCATTTACAGTATTTCTATTTGAACTGTTATAGCAGGCTACACTGCTCTTTAATTTTGTATTGATTCATTTTCTCTACTGTTTCTTGGGGCATTCAGCCTCCTTTTGTCCTTTTTTCTTAATTACCAAAGGTAATATACCGATGAAGCAGTGCCTTCTATCCCCCCCACCCAGTTTCCCTTACCTCCTTTGTTCACTTCCCTGCATATCTCTCCCTCTAAGTTCTTGTGTATTGTGAAGAGGAGGGTTTTTTAAAAATGCAATGCTCCTTTCTTTACAATTCAGAGCAGGAAATCTCAATCCCTCTTTCACCTGCAAGGGAGGGGAGGAAGGCTTTCCCCTTCTGAACAATATATTGACATTGCTTTTGTGTTGGCAGCTATGGTTACTAGCAAGGTATCAATTTGTTTGTTTTGTTCAGATATATTGACATTGCTTTTGTGTTGGCAGCTATGGTTACTAGCAAGGTATCAATACTCTTAAAAATATTTTTAAAAGGCGGGGGTACAAGCACATTGGCCATGAAGTGGCGACGGTGTCCAGATACCCAATCTCTTCACCAAGAAAAGAAATCAACAGCAACATTCACACATGCAGAAATGCTAAGAAATGAAGGGACACATCATTGGTACAATTTAAAACAACCTTTCTGGTGAGGGGCAAATAAACAAACCACCAGGGTGTTAGCCATGTGTCATGTGAACGGAAAATTATGACTATCTAAATAACAGACAAATCGGTGTTACTGGGGTTCTTTTGGCAGGTGAGGTTGAGCCCATAGTGAATGTTTTAGAAACCTTTCTCTGTTCTCTTCTGTGGTTACCTATAATTCCAGGAGATGATTTAAGTCAGTGAAACAATGCAAAAGAAAAAAGCCTTAAACCCTCACAAGAACATATTCAATCTTATTTTTCCCTCTTTCCACCACCCAACTACCTTTTAGAGGGAAATATACATTGTGGGACATGTGACTGGATTTCTTTGGCCCATCTAATTTGCCACCCAGAACTGAAGGCACTTGAAATAGAAAGTACAGAGAGAAGCAGATATTTCGCAGAAAACTAGTGAGGGGTATAATGGGGATATTATGTCAAACCAGAAAAAGAAGAACTATAGAAAAAGAAGAACGGGAAGCCTTATATTATTTATATAATTGATTTCATATATGGTTTCAGGCTCATATTTTTCAAAAATGTTGAGTATAAAGCTTTTTCAGCCCAAAGCACAGAAAAAATTTAGCAAACACTATGCTGAACATATTATAAAGAATCTGGCTTGATATGCATAAAAATGCAAGCAATTTATATTAGGAGAAAGGTTCAAAGGGCCATGCTGGCTGAGGATGATGAGATTTCTAGTCTTGCACATCTGGAAGCCACAGAGATGAGGAAGGTGTTATTATGCAATTAATGACAAGTAATAAAAAAACCCAGACCAGGTTCAAGGTTCTGGCACTTACATACAAAGCCCTCCATAGTTTGGGCCCATATTACTTGTTGTAGCATCCTTCCTTAATGTCATCTGCCTGATCCAAAGATCATCTCAGTCAAGGCTCATCTGGGGGCCACCCTGAGGGAGGCCTATAAGACCTCTATAAGAAGTAGGCCCTTTTCATGGTGGTTCCAACCTTATGGAACCAGCCTCTAGAGGAGCTCCGCCTAGCCTCCTCTCTGTTGATATTCAGGAGGCAACTAAAGATATGACCTTATGGAACCAGCCTCTAGAGGAGCTCTGCCTAGCTTCCTTTCTGTTGATATTCAGGAGGCAATTATAGATATGGCTTTTCAGGGAGGCTTTCCACACCAACCTTAGTTGATGGCCTTTGCCCCCCCTTCACTCTGTCTACTCTGTCTTTTTATATGACTGGCCCATGCCATCTGTTTTTAACTGTTATTCGCAAACTCTTTTTTAATGCCTTTATCTTTATTTTTTGGGTTGTATTATATTTATTGTAACCACCCAAAGTAGTGCCTTGGAGAGCAATATAAATCAAATCAAATCAATAAATAACATAGAGTCATGCGAAAAAGAAAGTATAATCTGGTTGTTGTGGGTTTTTTGGGCTGTTTGGCTGTGTTCTAGAGGTTTTTCTTCTTAATGTTTCACCAGTCTCTGTGGCCGGCATCTTTGGAGGACAGGAGCTAGAATTCTGTCAGTATCTTTGAGCATGAAAGACACTGCAGACTAAAACAACTGGAAAAATCGGCAGTAGCTGAACATGCCCTGAAACAAGCTGGACATGAAATCCTATTTCAAGATACAGAAGTACTGGACAACACCAGGAATCATTATGTTAGACTACACAGGGAAGTCATTGAAATCCACAAACATCAGCACAGCTTCAACAAAAACAGAAGAAAGTCTAAAACTCAACAAAGCCTGGCTCCCAGCACTGAAAAATACAGCCTGCAAAAAA